CAAATCATAGCGAGTTAACTTAAGTCGCATTCTCTGTAATATTGTGGGTTTGTGTACATTTCCGGAATGTAATCTTGTTTGCAAGGATGCAAAGGACGAATTAAGATCGGTGAGTGAAGAAGAGCAGTGGTAAAAAATGAAGGAGAGAGAATAAAAGGACTAGGGATGGATTGAAACAGTAAAAGAAAGTTTGAGATTAACATGAATTGTCGAATTAATGAAGGAAACCAGATGAAAAATGGCAAAGCTGACAAAGGATAGAATACGACGTAGAAAAAGGGATTATGACAAGAGAGATGGTGAAAAAAATTGCCACATGAGCAGCTGAAAAAAGAATTTCGTAGGTGATGTTTTAGTAGTTCAGGTTACAAAATCAGCGTAAAACTCTGTATTTTTACAGAACCCAAAATATACAGTAAATCAGATCACTGAGCAGTACCGACGTTATGGCCCATGTTTTACGGACATTATTCAAGGGAAGGAGGCTGGTTGAACTGAATTTAGAAGTTCTTTGGTGGTTCGCAGCGCAGTTGGTACGCAAGGAGCCACAAGCATCTTTGAGAGAATTCCGAAGTCAGTCAACCAGTCTCCTTGAAAAAGGCCTGTGAGACACGGATCGAAACGTTCTATGGAATTGACTATGCTTTTTTGCGTTGTGTATAAATATATGGTGTTTATTCCCTCTTAAGTATGGCTATCAATGAAATACTTCATTTAAGTTTAGTGAATGTCGACTTCGATTTTCTTATTGCATTACGCGCTGCTTTTATGAATGAATGTGTAACCATGCATGAAACACCTACCCCGCCTTTAACATCATTCATAGCCTATCTTTTTTATTTTCGTACGCTTGATGTATAAGCTTCAGTGGAAGTTGTGGTTTCATTTTTTCTTGCCAACAGTTCTTATTTAATAGCAAGTTCATTTGTTTTTGCATTGCGTTTGATCATTTGCTTTCAGAATGGTGGTGAGGCCGTCCATGAAAACCTCGAATTTAGCATGTTCTTCCCCTGTACAACGTTCATAAAGCCGTTGTTTTTCAGCAGGTTTGAGTTTTCTTTAATGACGCATGCGTAATCTCTGATGGAATGTTTTAACTGTATTGTGTGAAATTTTGATTTAAATTCGAAATATTTTCTTCCGAATGTAATTAGAATTTTACTATTATATCATAAAGTAATGAGATTGTCACAACGTATGAGTATTGTATTTAAAATCCTTCCGTGCAATTAAGCCGTTTATGAATATCTGCAATCTGCAACGGCATTTCATGGCTAGCATGAAGATTTGCTAACTTTCTCAAAACTAAACTTTGTTGACTTTTTTATTTCCTTCATACTCCTCAAGAATAATCTGCTCAAACTCTGTCAAGGGGTAAGATGCTTTAGTAGCTGTGATAAAATTTGGACTACCCCTAACATGGTCGCTTTCTGCGGTTCCTCGATATTGACCAAATTAAACTGTGTAGACTGAAGGTCGTTTCTCACTGCTTCCAAAGCATCCAGTGCCACAGGAATTGCTACCATTTATATGTTCTTGATCTTTTCTATTTTCACCGTCAACGGTTAGTACAGCCCACTCTATTTACGTACGAATAAAGTAGTTTCCGCAAATCAGTACCTAACACGAATCTTAGATAAACAGATTTAATCCATCTCGACGTACCATAGTGTTTACAGTACGAGTATACAACAATACATTAACTTGCTTTAAAGACTTTTTTAACGAAAATTTTATTCACAGGATGCGTACACAAATTTAATTTAAATCTGTAATTATTATTGCAGAATAATATAATATTGTATTAATGGTATGAAGGGATGTTTCAATTTCTGATTCTCTTCTCACTATCGATATCGTTCCTATTGAGCTTTATCTGACCTGTTGTAATTTCCTCCGGATTGAGATGTCACAGTAACCATGGTCTGGGCACGTATTGCGAATGTTTGCAGAAGGAAAGCGAAACATTTACTACTTGTCCAGCCGACTGGCCTAAGACCCCGTTCCGTCCTAGAACCAAAAATTGAGGATTTTATTTTCTTCATTTCTCAGAGGTAAAATTGATGCTACTCATTATTCACTGTACTCCATTTGTGATTGTTACAACATCCTCTAGCAATTGTACATTCGTGGTCTTATCAGATGATCCGTAGCCGAGTGTTCTGCGCCAACGAGAGCGTTCAAACACGTCAAGGGCAGTAGCTTCTTTCTTGGTAAGAGCCCATATTGCTGCGACCTACTGGTCGAATAGTTCTAATATATACATGGACTTTCGCTAACGTATTGTCAACAGCTTAGCACAGATTTTATTGTAGTTTGCCATACGCAAAATTTGGCCTTATTCTTTTCTGAACTTCTGCTGCACAATTTTTCCATCGCTAGTGATAATCGATTCAAGATCCAAGCAGCATTTGATGACATTGCACGTCTTGTTTGTAAATGCTCATCGTAATCTTGACATCTTGTGAGCCATACCGTTAAGAAGAAACTGTTCATTTCGGTGGTTTCATTCTCAGCCTGTACTTGGCTCTGACTATTTCTCTGATCGTCAGTGCCTTCTGAACTTCTTCCAGTTTTGTCGCAATAACCTTGATGCCATTAACCCAAAATCCTATATGTAAATAAAAAGTAAATGAGAAATACGTCCAAAGGAAGATCTGACAGCAGTGAGTGAAAGAGATTAGGGTTAGTCGTATTCAGCACGTGTACATTTCGTACACCGCCTTCGTCAAATAGTGGACAAAAACTAATTAACTAATTTCAGACGGAGCAAATACAGTAAAATATAGGTCACCCAGCCCTTCTTTGTATAGTACAGAGTTTGGTTATGAAGTGTTTCCAGTAATTAGCTGCCTGTTTTAGTACGTCTCTGCTGCCTTGGAATCGAAAATATATAATACATATATTCACTGGGCAACCTGAGGATCAGCATATCTTTCCATTCTCACGCATTTGTTGCCAGTAGTGATTGTCTGACTTGTTGACGATTGACACTCTACCATCTGAAATACCATTGTATAATTTAAAATAAATGTAGAATTGCAGTGATTTGTTATTGATACTTATTCCTAATTATTACCTTTACTAAAAGCAGAAATGAATATTCTGAAATGAGAAAAGTCTTTTAAGGAATTTCACCGCATGAGACACTTAGACAATCTCTCTGACATTTCACACCATACACCATCCGTCTTCAGGGAGTCACCGATGGTGTTAGAGTCACTCTAACATCTGCTGAGTTCATTTTTTTCGTTTTATGTCAGTTCAAAATCATCAAGAATTTCGTCGGTTTTAGCACGACCTTCGAGCAGATGTTGCAGAACGACTGTTTGCGCTGTGCTTCCGCTGAGGTCTCAACGCAGTCGGCGATCGACACCGTCCTGCGTAACATCACGGAACGATGCCATTTTGCGCTGATTGAAAGCGTCCCGGGAGCCGCGTCACTCTGCGGCGAAACCATCTTCGGCAAGCGGCTCTTCCTTCTTGTGAAGCAGACGGTGCGTGCATTGATTTTGGTGTAAAGTAGCAGCAACGTTGATGCTATACTCGTTTAAAGCGGTGTGGTTAGAAACTCGTTGTAAACGCATCCTTAGCGTTGAATATGCCTAGTCGTTGTTTGGTAGTTATGATAATCATTTTGGGCAGTTTGCATGAAGAGAACGTAAGCAGGAAAAATTCTATACCGATTGCAGCTCTGCCTTATTCAGTCATATATCATCCTGGCCTCCTTGTTGTCAGTTTCTCTTCTCACATGACAACCTATAAAATGGATGATAGCTAAAGTGTAGACTCGTATGGCTGGAACAGGCACAACAGAGTGCTCTCTCAATGACTGACATGACAGCTCGCGACCACTGAAGAAACCTAGCTTGTCAGAGGCGAGAAAATGACAAAATTTGCATCCATGTTTTATGATGAAAATTCGAAAAGGAGGTAATTGGTGTATGCATTGGTTGAAAAGAGCCATTTGCTGAAATTCAATGGCATTTGGTAGGCTTTAGTTGGAAAGTATGACATATGAAATGGTAGTGACTGCCTTTCATATGCTTGGATGATGCATTCTGCATTTGTGTGTCGACTGCGTCCAAATGGCCAATCGATTCCGAGACAGTTCTCACCGGCTAATCGTCAAACACCTCCGCCTTTCCAACTGCTTAAAATCATTGTTTCAATGTACCTGGGGAATCTCAGTACCAAGAGGAGATAGCAAAATGCTTCCAAATAGAAAATGTGAGACAGCGCCTAGTCCACATGTGACATCTAAATGCAGTTGTTGAAAACTATGCCTTGTTCTGGATTGTGACTGCATATGAACATAATGTGACGTCTCAAGAAGCTATGCATGGGCGAACACCTACACTGTGACAGAGATCACTAGTTATTCCAATGCACGAGCAGTCCGATGCCATAAGTTGCAGTGGAAGTAACTGCACTCGAGAGGCCGGTCATCCAAATAATTCGCCCACGTTCTTCTGAACCGAAGAATCTGTCAGCTATATTCTACTTTGCAGAGCGAAGAATATTCGAGAATAACGAAGCTAGCTCGCTGGATAGGATCACCGCTCGTAGAGGCTTATTTTTGTACTGTCATATATGGCGGAAATAGACCCGACCATCGCTCGAGATGAAGAATTGGTGCCAAGAGCTGGAGTAAACGGCTCGTTGGAACATCATCGGTGGCAGCTGTGGAAGTGCGTTTGATAAAGATTAATGAAAATTAGAGGAAAGAACATTTATGAGAGTCTCGACAAAATCTTCATCCGCCAGTGGATCGAAAAAGGTAGATCATTATTATGGTTTGGCGCAAAGAAGGCGATACGATCTTACTTTGTTTCCAGTTGTTTGGCTGACTAAGCTTGTCCCTCTGCGAAAAAATTTACCTGCTCGATATTTGCCTGAAATTAATTTAAAACAGTTTTTATTCTTGATAACTCTTTTGGCTGGATTTGAAATTAAGAGGTAGTAACAAGTACGAAGGGAGATATGAGTTCGTTGCCTGTTTCTACAGTAGTTGTATTTTTTCTTTAATTGATTCATGATAGCGAAGGCATGGGCTACCAGTATAATGCGAGAAACTGTCTGTATGCATATTCGCTTTCGAAATCACGCACAACTTTTTAACAGGGTGAAATGTCAAATGAAATTTAACAGGTGAAACGAAACTGCCTAACATAAAGCGAAAGTTACGGCTAGATTCGAGAGGGAGGCGCCACTGTTTCCTTTGCTTTTTCGAACAAATTTGCCTATGACATTCTTATGCTGTTACTTCAGTGCTAGAACGAATTCATGCACATGTTGCATATTCAGCTTTTCTTAACCAATATAGTCTTAGATAACGACTAATTAATAAACCAATATTTGACCACTTTTTTGACACGCTCCTTTGATACTCGTCGAATTAACTGAGTGTTTGCGGTGGAAGGCATGTGAAATGATGACCGGACGACCGGTGTTCCGATTTCTCAAATCTATCAGATGTTTAAATTTCTTATTCTGTGCCTGATTTCATATTGCCATAATCACTGTGTTGGTAGTTCTATGTGCCGCGTTCAGTACTATTGTATTTTTTGTGTGCTGAGACTTAACGTTTAATCTGTTACGTCAAAACTACCCGGTTCGTAATAAATTCGGATGATGTGGATATACTGGGAAGTCAGCTGTTTCATTTTAAACCCGTTTTTTTTGAACTAACCGGCTGCTGTTACCTGCTGATCGCATTTACAGTAGGTGGTTGCGTTTGTTCGACCACGTTGCAACTTTATTGTGCTGTAGTCGTACAGTTTTTCTCCGTGTTGTCCCGGTTTTCATGGTGTCTTCGTATACGCTTTCTTTTACGTTTTTGGTTGATTTCCCACAAGTAAGACGGTAAAACTTCTTGCTCTTGCAGAAATAAGTTGCACAGCAGTAGATTCACGCTAGCCACTTGCTCGAACAACGTAGAATTGAGAAATCCAGCGTGCCAACGGTCAAGACTATGCGGAGAAAAGTTTAGTGTTTTAATGCTGCAGCGTTTCTTACGTAATCGAAGAAGGTAAGTCTGACGATGTTTGCGGTACAAATTGGACGTAATGAAAGGTTGCCTTTTTGGGAAGTAGGCGTTTGGCCTGCAAGACGGGTGGTAGTTTTGGTCTGGCTACAGTTGATTATGCCGTGCCAGTGTGGGTATTCTTTTGTTCTCGATGAATTTGAACGGTTTTTTATATGGCACACGTGTCGAATAGGATCCCGATTTGTTACATGGATGTCACCGTTGAATATCATTTCATCTGTCCCCCTATCAACATGTCACCTAAGAGCTAGGACTGCTTAAATATAGGCCTATCATTTTCAGTAGCTAACCTCCAGATTCCCCCTCCTTGGCTTTAATTTTCTGCAAGCACTAGAGGCTAGTTTAGACATCCCTACACAAATATAAGTGTCAAAGGCCTTGCTGCATCTCAAAATGAAGAGTGGCTGAGGTATAGTCAGATTCCTCCGCTGTTAATTAAATTTGGCAGATGGGAAGTAGTGGTAAAACTACAATTGACGGAACTCAAAGTGATTCACTTACGAAGTTAAGCGTAGTACAGCTGATTGACACGTATTGTAAACATGTCGGGCAACCGGGTGTTCTTACTATTAATGTATTACTCTATCGTGTACTTCATTTTAGCTGTTATTTTTGGTTATTCTAGAAATAATAATAGAAGACTCTGTTAAAATTTAGCAATCCTTCTGTCGGGTATTTGTTTCCCTGACCAGATTTTCGCTCTTATAAGTGACCGTGGAGCAATGCCGACAATTTCAATTACATTGATTTACCAGTTTCGTAGACTTTGAAGTCGCATTTGATTCCATACATCGTTTAGTCACGTGGACAATCTTTAAATGCTATGGGATACCTCACCACATCGTTTCCATTTTTCGAGAGATGATGCAGGAAACAAAAGTTCCTTAGGAACCAAAGGAGAGCTGTTTGAGTGGTTCCCCATTAACAATGCTCTTTGCCTTCGAAATGAGCTTTCGACTTTGCTACTCAATACTGTTCTCGAGTTTTTTCTCGGAAACGGTGCTGACTCTGTCACTGACGAATGTTTCACTCGTAAAGGAAAGCGCAGTTCAACATATCCAGCTAGGTACGTAGATATTGTCCTGGTGAGTAGTGTAGGAAGTGGGCCTTGTCACTGATGGGGTTCGTTTGCAACACAGCTGCGAAAACTGGCCACTGTCTTAACTCCCAGAGGTACAAAGGTATGAGGAACTAATCAGACACGACCGATCTACTAGTAAAGCAGATCGGGGAGCGAGGCTGTTGAAGCATCGGCCAGTTTGAGTGTATCGGTTCAATCGTTAACAACGATGGCACAGTCCAATTAGAATAAACTAGGAGGATCGCTTTCGATGAAAGTCATCCTGTACATTTCCACTGTAAGGTCAGTGTTGTAATGTTTTTTCTCTATGTTCTTATGAATAAACAAGACCGACGGCTGAACTGCGTATAGCAGCGTTTCAGACGCGTAATTAAAGTTAAATAGTACGACCACGCGCGGCTTCATTCTCTTCCAGGCAAAGGTAACTTTATCAGTGGTAGTAATTAAGCAAAGAAATTAACACTGTTAAATGAACCTTTTGTGAGGACCCATTTTCTTCAACTTGCGGTAGATGAAACACCGCAGGCGTCATTCAGGAAGTCAATATTCAGGGAACCACCGTAGAACCATCTACATCTTTTTCAGAGAGAAATATTTTCTTCTACGATACAGTGACCGGTATGTTCTAGCAAAAGTGTCAAGCCGTGAAAACGGCGGATACGGACACCGTACACTGACACAAACATTCAGACGGAAGCTGGCATTTTTCAGCAAGAAACTTTCAAGATGCTTATTTATGTGCTGATTGCATTTCTGCTACACTGATGAGAATTCCCACTCGAAGTCATACTTCTGAACATAAATCGAACCATCAAAACAAAATTACGTCAAGAATCATCTAAATACCGAAAGGAGATCTCTCACCATAAGTTTGTCGAGAATATTTTGCCCGTTGCTCAATTTCTCCTTATTACATTATTACGCGGATGTTGTATCATCGCTGTAAGGCAGAGCACCTTACGTCAGCAGATACCATGTGATAATCATCTGCCATATTTATTATGGCTTCTTTATGAACTTTAGTTTATCATTCTTTGCGATTAGTTTTAACTATGAAGATCTAGTCACAGATAGTTCAATGCTATGTTAGAGAATAATTTATCAATTTGCTAAATTCTGCTTAATATATTGTATATTGCATTAATATGTACCTGTCAAGTTATTGTGTATGATCCATCTAGGAGCAGATAATTTCTTCGAGTTTAAGGCTGTACAATCGTTTTATTATGTTCTCTATTGTTATCAACTTCGTCGTGATCACTTGTTCGATTTTAGGCAAACGCCATACGCGTTGACGGAAAATGCTGCGATGTCGACTTGTGTCAAAATGTTCTGAACGAAATCCACCTTTCTCTGTGATTGCATATAAATGACTCACGTACCGTGTCATT